ATGTGGATTGTATTACTATATCTCTGTAGTAGAGCTTGAAATCAGGTGATATCTTTGGAATTGTTTTATTGTTCAGGATTGTTTCAGCTATCCTGGATTTGTTTCATTGTTATTGTTGTTTTCCATATGAAACTGAGTATTGTCCTTTCAAGGTCTGTAAAGAACTGTGTTGTTATTTTGATGGGGATCATGTTGAATCTGTAGATTGCTTTTTATAGGATGACCATTTTTACTATGTGAATCCTGCAGGTCTGTGAACATGGGAGATCATTCCATCTCCTGGTATCTTCCTCTATTTATTTCATCAAAAATATGAAGTTTGTCTTTCACTTATTTGGTTAAGGTTACTCCAAGATATTTTATATTTTTTGTGGCTAATGTTAAAGGTGTTTTCCTGATTTCTTTCTTAGTCCATTTGTCATTGGTATATAGGAGGGCTACTGAATTTTTTTTAATTAATCTTGAGACCAGCCACTTTACTGAAGGTGTTTATCAGGTTAGGAGTTCCCTGGTAGAATTTTGGGAATTGCTTATATTTAAGATCATATCATCTGAAAATAGTGAAAGTTTTACTTACTCCTTTCTGATTTGTATGCCCTGGATCGCTTCAGTTGTCTTTTTTCCTCTAGCTCGTACTTCAAGTAGTATATTGAATAATATGGAGAGAGTGAACAGCCTTGTCTTGTTCCTGAGTTTACTGAGTTTAGAGAAATTGTTTTGGGTTTCTCTCCATTTAATTTGATGTTGTCTATAGGCTTGCTGTAAATTATGCTTATCATGTTTAGGTATGTCCCTTGTATCTCTAATGTCTCTAATGAGATGATCATGTGGATTTTTTTTCTTTCGGTTTGTTTATACGGTAGATGACATAGGCAAATATTTCTGTGTTGAACCATCCCTGCATCTCTGGGATGATCTTTTTTATGTGTTCTTAGATTTGATTTGTGAGTGGTTTTTTTTTTTAGTATTTATATATGTTCATGCAGGAAACTGCTCTGTAATACTCTTGGTTGAATTTTTGTGTGGTTTGGGTATCAGGGTGATGATGGTCTCCTAAAATGTATTTGGAAATGTTCCTTCTACTTGTATTTTGTAGAATAATTTGAGTAGTATTGGTCTTCACTCATCTTTGAAAGTCTGGTAGAATTCTGTGCTAAAATGGTCTGACCATGGGCTTTTTTCTTTTAAGACTTAATGACTGCTTCTATTTCCTTAAGGCTTATAGACCTATTTAATGCATTTGTCTGATCTTGATTAGACATTGGTAAGTGATATCTATTGAGAAAATTATCGATTTCTTTTAGATCTTCCAATTTTGTGGAATACAGATTTTTAAAGTATGTGACCTAATGATTCTTTGGATTTCCTTGCTTTCTGTTGTTAGGTCCCCCCTTTTCATTTCAGTTTTGTTAATTTGGATATTCTCTGTCTTTTAGTTAGTTTGGATAAGGATTTGTCTATCTTGCTAATTTTCACCAAGATCTAGTTTTTGTTTCATTGATTCTACACACTGACCTTTGATTTCAGCCCGCTGTTTGGTTATTTCCTGCCATCTCCTCCTCTTAGGTATGCTTGCTTCTTTTTGTTCTAGAGATGTGTTCTGTTAAGTTGGTAATTGTTAAGGTGTACTGTTCAGTTGCCGAAAACCTCCAAGTCCTATGTGCAGGCACTTAGTGTTAAGAATTCTCATCTTAGCACCACTTTCATTGTGTTCCATAAATTTGGGTATGTTGTAAATTCATTATGATTGTCTTGACACAGTAGTGATTCAGTAGAGAGTTGTTCAGTTTTCATGACTTTATATGCATCCTTTTGTTTCTCTTGTTGAAATCCAGCTTTGATACATGGTGGTCTGATAGGATGGGGGAGGTGTTCACTTTTCTTGTATTTGTTGAGACTTGCTTTTTGACCACGTATGTATTTAATTTCAGAGAAAGTTCCATGAGGTGCTGGAGTTGAGGATTGAAACACAGTGACTAAGAAGGGAGACTGCATTGGGGATAGTGGGGGGGTGCGCTCATCAAGTAGAGGAGTTAGAGGTGAGCAGCCTGCCTGGTCTCTGGCAGCTGTGGCCTGTGGCTGGGTAGGGGGTGTCTGCCTGAGGGAATAGAAAGAGTCATTCTACTTCATCTTAATATCAGCCATATAAGGACTTGTGCTGTGAGCAATGAAACATAACCATCAAGGACAAAAGGTCCTTAAGTAACTAAATTGTTTTCTTCATTAAAGTATTAAAACAAGACTGCTTGTAAATGCACTGATCTCTAAGCAGGCCAGATTCATTCTCCTCTCGTTTGCCAGTAATGCAGTTATGGGTGGAAGATGTAGATACTTGACAGTTTTGTGTGTTCAAACATCTGGGCTTACTCAGTCTCTGCTTCTTGACAAAGAGTGTTCTGGGAAGGGTGTTCTTAGATGTTTTCCAGGACTGCACTGTGAGGGAGCTGTGGTCTAAGGCTCTGCTCCTTCATGTTCGTCTTCTAGAATACAATGGGAAGACGAAGTATTTGGGGGTTTGGATAGAACTTTCCTCCTCCCCAAAACTCTTATTTTCATCTTATTTTGTCAAGCATTTTGACGTTTAATCTCCATTTTAAAAAAATTAAACCATAAAGCATAAGTAACAGAAAATTCTGGAAAAATAGCAAGTTAATAACAAGCTTTTAGTGATAAAAGGCAGTATAGGTAAGTTTCCTTTAAAAATACATATTAAGTAGCAATATAAAAACTGCTCAGGTGTTCCTATGATTTTAGATAATGTTATTGAATATTTATATTCAGGTGTCTTACATTCTAAAACCAAGTATTCACAGAATGTAGCATTAAGCAGTTTTTCTTCTAGAATAGGGGATTCTGATTTTCTCTTATGTGGTTAACATTCTATATAGAGGCATTTGAATCGGATTTTATGTTTAAAAACTTAACCGATGTATGCATTATTTTTTGTTTCTCATTCTTGGGAGAGAAAATAAGATTGACCCAGTTTGCATCAGGCACCTATCTCTACCTTCCATGTCCTTCTCTCCACCAGCTATGACTTGGTGTGGTAGGCTTATCTGATGCAAACATGTTTTCACCAAGGGCAGTGTCTGAGGCTGTCCAAACAAGAAAGAAAGACTGGGATAGATTTGCATTGCATTTGCTACTGTAAAACCACTATAAGTAAAGCTGTTCACAGCCCAGACATGCTGTCTGAGAAACAGAAGTGCTTTCTGTCAGCCAATTCAGGCCTGCTGAGAAGTGAGCAGTTGGACTCCTAGTTGGTATTAATAATGTCACTTTTAAGATCTCTTTACTGGAAACAAAATTGCTTACATATTTTCAAGTAAGTTCTTATTCTTAAAGTCTCCATTGTTCATGAAGACTCCCATTGAGACTACTGAATAATGATGCTTGAGAAACTAATGTCAGCCAGGTAGTAATGGCACATGCGAAAAGTTTAAGGGTACTTTACCTGTGTTTACAAATAGTGTCCCCATTCTAGAATTCTTTAAACAATGTCCACTGCAATTCCAATGTAGATGTTTGCCTTTCATAGTTTTGTTAGAGGTACTTGATTATTATTAGTATTGAGTGCTTTTTTTCTGCTACCCACTTGTTCTAGAAAGTCAGAGCCTGGGATCTCTCCTGTTTCCACTAATGAGGAGCTGGAGAGAGGAGGAAACAGAACAGCTGATGAGTCTACAGAATGGATGGTGACAACTGTCATTTCAATATGTAACTATAATATTTTCCCTTCTGTGGTGAGAGGGTTAGAGTAAAAAAAACATAGCCTGCTCATTTCATAACCTTTAAAGCTGTCACTTTTCTTAAGTCTCTCAAGTGGAAGTTGGGGAGGGGCTCCATTAAATGCATGGACAGCCCTTTGTGGCCTTCCTCAGTGTGGAAGTACAACCCAAACTTAACTGGATGAACATTCACTTTCCTTTGAGCTTTCCCCCCACAGTGGTGCCCAAATGCAAAACCAGTACAGTGTTTTCCTGCTTAAAATACTTGACTTTGCTTATGAGCAGAATAAAGATCGTTATCATAAACACCAGGCACAGTCTAGCCGCCACCTCCCTTTTTATCATGCTCGAAATCCCATGGCATGTCCTTCCTTGCCCTTAACTAGGCATGTGCTTCCCCACTGTCTAAACTTTTCGTCCCCTCCTCCATTTTGTTCCTTTGTCTTAACTTTTATTCCTCAGAATTTGTCATCACTTCATCAGTGAAATCCCTTCCCTGTCCTCCCAAGTTGACCCAGTCTATTACAACATGTCATACGTCTCTTTTATGGTTTTCTACATGTAGCCATCTCTTCTTAATTTCCAAAGTTCTATTTCTGTTCATCTAATTATACTTTTAAATACTTAGCAAAGCACATATATGTTTTAGATCTTATGTCATTGCTAAATATTGGAGGTTAATGGATGGCTTTATTTTTCTAAACTAACAGTAATAGACCATCAGAATTATTCTCAAGTATAAGAAACACCAGACATGGCCCCTTTTGGAGGTTATAAAATCAGAATAATGAATTTGCCGCCTGCTGGAGTTTGCTGAGCATGTTAACCTGCAGCAGAACAGTTCCCAGCTGGGGCTGAAGATCTCTAACGGTTCTCTGTGGCGTCTCACTTGGCATCAAGTGTTTCCAGTGTCAAATTTGCCCTGAGACAGTACATTTGCTGGTGCGATTACTTTTAAAAAGCCTGGTTGTGCTGGTGAACTTGATGGCACATAGACAGTCTATGGTGACTATGGCTTCACTAGGCCAGGGTCAGTTTCCACTGCTAATTGCATCTCAAGTTGCTCTTCCTTTCACTTTTCATCTTCAAATTTAATTTTCTTCCTCCTTAAAGAACCTTACTTCATTTAGATAAAATACTTGGGTGAACATGGGAATGTTTAGTACTGGTGTCTACGAATCAGTTACCTCTATTTCTCTCAGACACTCAAGACTCCAAAAAACAAGAAAAGAGAGAAAAAGAGAAAGGCAGTTTCCTTAACTCCGTTGTCAGCTTTCTTCGAGGTCACATTGCAGGCAGCATCAACATCCCGTTCAGTGCTGCCTTCACAGCGGAGGGAGAACTCAGCCAGGGCCCTTACACCACGATGCTTCACAACTTCAAGGGCAAGGTCATTGTGATCGTAGGCCACGTGGCAAAGCCCACCGCCGAGGTAAGTGTCCTCAGGAGTGTCCCGCATTGTTCCTGCCCACTGTCCAGATTGTGGAAAATGTTTCTTCAGAGGCAGTCATACGTAGATAAACCCAGCTGTCTGTGTCCTTTTCTAGATTTGTCTCTTATGGAAGCCTCCTTCCTCCCACTACCCCACCTCCAGTTTTCAGCGTTGGATGAAAGTAGGAGGCCTGGGAAAACCCAGGTGGTAGCTGCTGCTGCTGTCAGGAGCTTAGTCTTAAATTTGATTATACCCAAAGATGGGCTCTTTAAGAGGCAGTCTCGTGGGAAGTCATGTGGTCAGTGGAGGTTTGTCTCCATAAGGGACTATAGGACTGGGTTGCTGACTTCCAATACCAAGATGTGCTCTCTTCCTCCACATTGGTAGGTTACCGCCATCCACAGTGGGCACTGACTGTAGGCCTTGGACTTCTTCCCTTTGCAACTGTGAACTAATTAAGCCTCCTTTCTTTCTAACTTAGATACTTCCATTATTTTGTTATAATGTATAGAAGTATTTTTTTCTCCTTTTGGGTTTTCTTTAAACCTATAGTGACTCCCTCTATTGATGTCTTTTTTTTCTTGCTCTTCTCTATTCCTCTCCCCTCTCAATCTTCCTGATCCCTCATGTTCTCCTACCTCGTACCCCCTCCCCCCATGCTCCCAATTTGTTCAGAGGCTCTTGTCCCTTTCCCCTTCACTGGTGGACCGTGTGTGTCTCTCTTACAGTCCTCATTCTTAACTAGTTTCTCTGGAAGTGTGGATTGTAGGCTGGTACTCCTTTGTTCTATGTCTATTCTAGCTGCTTTTAAAATTTCAAAAATACAGACTGAACCTTTGTCAGAGAATTAGGGTGGGATCATAGGCTCTGGAAGCTGCCTGGGTGGCATTTATTGGGCTTTGGTAAGCTTTGTTTACCTAGAAACTCAAGGGTTGGCTGTCTGTTTCAGGTGTGTGAAACAAAAAGTTGAACTCCCTCTCCAGATTGAGAGAGAAATTGCTGTAGTCTAAGGAAACTGAAAAATAAAAAGTAGATATAACTGCTAAAAATTGCCACCATGAAAGAAAAAAATTAGAGCCTGGTGTGGCAGCACATACCTTTAATCCCAACACTCAGGGGGCAGATGGCTCTCTGCGTTCAAGGCCAGCCTGGTCTAGATAGCACGTGTAGCAAGGGCCAGAACTATGTAGAGAGATCCTGTCTCAGAAAGAGAGATAAAGAAAAGTGTTAGGGACTACAGCATATGAGAGCCAAGCAGGGTCACAAAGGACATCCCCAGAGCCAGTAGAGAACATTCCTGTATTGAGAAAATGCAGAACCCACCCCATCCAAGCCCTTTCCCCAAAATGGGGGAATCACTCCTAGGAATATCTTTCTGGGGGAATACAGGCTGAGCTTTCCCAGATTAGCCAATCAAATGAATCCATGGCACCTAGGGCAGAATGAAAAAGGAGACCAAAGAAGGGTCAGCAATGTGTTGGGAAATTTTCCTCACTGAGAAAATTAGGAATGGGAGTTAAAGTATTCCCATCCAGTTTCCTTTATGTTTCTATAAAAGGGGCAAGCCATAAATGTGGTGAACGGAGAAAGACGACTTCCACAAGTGGTTCCCCAACCTCTACATGTAAATGTATGCTCACCTCCCCATCCACACACACAATGAGTGAATGAATACACAAAAAAATTTAAAATTACTAACTACAAGTTGTTTTAGAAGTGAAAGGCTAAGGACAGTACTTACTTTTGACATTGAATGAAGGCCAACCTTGTCTTTGTATCTTCACTAATTATGTCATAAATCACACCTCTCATATAAATTGTGGCAATATATAATATGTAACAGAATATCCAAGTGCACCCTTTTCAAGAAAGTAGAGTAAGTAGTTGTCACTTAAATCCATAATCCCAAATCAGTGGCAGCATATATAATTGCAGCCATGGTAACTGTATTATCGTGATGTAAGATGTCATTTTATGACTGCTGCTACACTACTTAGTCACCCCATACATCCACACCACTATTGCGAATCCCGTACTTCTAGACTCCAGGTAACATACAGACTTAGGAAGGAATCCCTACAGTGGCAGCAATCCCAAGTTATGGACTAGCCTTTACATGAGAGGTGCTGGGCTAAGTACATCCCATGTTTTGTCTCCTTGTTTTTCATAACTGTCTATAAGCGACTGTGATAGAGTTCATTGTCAACCTGACAGAATCTAGATTCATCTGGAAGACAGGCCTCTAGACATGACTCTGTGTGTGTGTGTGTGTCTGCATTGGGGCAGGAAGGCCTGCCCGCTAGGTGTGCCACTCCTGCATTGTGTAAGTGGAGAAAGGAAGCTGAGCATGGCTGTAGACACATGTATGTGACTGAGCATGGCTGTAGACACACGTGACTGGCTGCCTCCATCTCCTGCCACCTTGACGTGATAGACTCTACACCCTTGAATGTGGTGAGTCAAAACTAAAACCCTTTCTTCTTTCATTGCTTCTGTCAAGGTGTTTTTATCACAGCAACAGGGAAAGTAGCTAAAACAAGGGAGAATCATCCTACCCAACTCAAACATGAGAACAACTGGATTCAGTTTACCTGATGTACCTGCCCATAGCCATGATAAGAACATATGCTATATCACTCTGTAAGCCCTGCCATTAGCTCACCGCAGGAGGCTTTGGAGTCTGAATGCTGCCATGTGTCCTGCCTTTCAAATGGGCTTGCTCTGACTTCACACACAACATAGTACATGAGGCCAACTTTGCCGGATGATGGCTCTATTTTCATAAAACATTCACCACTTGAAAGAAATTTTTAATAAGTAGACTTTAGAGGTTAAAATTCCTTAAACTGCCAGCTGCTTCCAAACATCCTAATCATACTAATCGGTGTCATCTATCTAATTTTACCATACAGGTAAAACATACCTGTCAATACATAGATTATTTCTTTTATTAAGCCATTAACTTAAAAATCTATTCTGTATAAACCAATAACTAAGTTCAGAATATGGAGAAAATATAGAAGAATGGATGTCCACATGCAGTATAGGATATTTAACAGTGCTGAGCCGTCATATTCTAAATCAGTGTCATGTTCATTAGAAGTCAGGTACTATTAATTACACTTTTTCTTCACATCCTTTTTGCTGACTCATTTATAGACAATAGTGACTAAACAAATCATATGCACAGCTACTAGTGCTCCAATCCAATAACAGTAACCCATTTGTGATAGTTCAGGAATCTGATCTACCTTTAATAATGTTTCTCATCAAAGGTCAAAAGACAACTTCAGATACTTATTCGTACGCCTTCCTATTTCCCTCTGCTGCCCAGATCTGTACAGCAGTATAGATGCTCCCCCACACGCACTGAATTGAATGCATGTCAGCGTGAGGTATTGGAATCCCACTGTGTCTGTGTTTGTGCTGAGTATCTTCTCTACACTCCACTGCCACTGCAGACCAATCCTCTCCCCTTCCTCTCATAGCTTTCGCCCACAAAGGAAAATGCCTGTGAGTTCTGAGTCCTAGTTGTTTCGAGTGAGGAGCTCGGAAGGAAGCAGGACATTTGTCCTCCTAGATCTTTCTCAACCGTGATCTCAGGCCAGTGTCTCTCTACTGAAAACAGCAGTTCCCTGTGGACGGCCTCTCCCCACAGTTCGCACATGAAGCCCTGGCTCCTTTCTCTCGAGGAGTGGTAACAAGTCTGCCATGCTATCCTTGGTCAGCACTGCCCATTGTAGTTCTCCAGCATCCCCTCCCCCTCTGTAATTAATCACCACCTTAGTTCATGCTGAGGTCAGGTTTGGCTTCTTCAAGTCTTCGTTTGTTCAATTCTAAAGTTAAAATAACATTTAAATCTCTGCATTAATTAAAGCTATTAGACAAGATAAGTAAAGTTTCTTAAGGAAATTAATAATATCACCCACTATACTACTTTTATATATGGGAATAGTAAAAGTTCTGGAGTTTAGTAGCATAGCAGCAAAACAGGTACTGACTAGCTCAGCCCTGCCCTGCTTCAGAGCTCAGACAAGATCCACTGTGGTCAGGGTGGTATGGTCATAGACTGGTGAGGTGACCCTAACCCATTCCTCCACATACTTGTATCAGACCAGTCTGAGGAAATAAGTACAGTCAGCAGGTGATAAAGGAGTCAACTCAAAAACAAAATGACAGACATATGTATGTGTGCATGGTCCCCGATATCAGAGCACCAAATAATGTTAAGAAATAAACAGTGGAATTAAATTAACCCTAGACCTCATGTGCTTGGAGTTCTTAACAGCCCATCAAACAGCTGCCCAATATTCCTTTTACTCACACATGGACAGTTTCCAAAATATAGTATGTAATAAGCAACAAATTATTCCCCACAAAATTTATAAAATGAAATATCACATATTTTCTAATTACAGTTCAAAGAAAACTAAAAGTCAGTTGTAGGGAAAGCATTATAAACTACAAATGTATGTAAGTTAACTTTTGAACGATCAATGGATTAATCAAGAAATCAAAAAAGAATTTTTCTAATTTTTTCTGGTTTTGGTTTTTTGAGACAGGGTTTCTCTGCGTCCCTTGACTGTCCTGGAACTTGCTTTGTAGACCAGGCTGACCTCAAACAACCAGAGATCCACCCACCTCTGCCTAACGAGTGCTGCAATTAAAGGCATGCACCACTAGGCCCAGCCTAATTCTTTAAATAAACAAAAGTGGAAATATAATATACTAAAGCATTAAGATTAAGTGAAATTCATCCCAATGATGCAGGAATAATTGTATGAAATCCACAAATATGATATACTACACCAACAGAATGAAGTACAAAACTATAGGATCATCTCAACTGGTACAGAAAAGGTGATATTTTATAGCAGGCAATATTCTTATATATAATCAATGCTAAGCAAACTAGGTATAAAAATAATAAAGACCATTTATAGGAAGGCAGCCAGCAGTAGACTGAAAGTACATAGCTGGGAGCTTTCTCTTCAGACCTGGAACAAGACAACAGTGCCTCTTTTATTCAACCTTATGCTGGAAGTCGTCCAACTCTAATGAGAGAATAAATAAAAGTTGTCAAAATCTGAACAGAAAGAAACCAAATTATCACTGTTTGACATTGACATGATTTTACACAAAAAACACCCAAGCCCCAAAACAAACTACCAAGACAACAAATCAGTAGCAATGCTTTTTTGTCAATAGCAAATAAAATGAAATAGAAATAAAGAGTACAGTCTCTACTTGTACATATTATAGCAAAAGAAATGTTATCAGGGCTGGGAAAGTGACTGAGTTTGGTAAGCGCTTGCTGCTGAAGCAGGAAGACCTACATTCGATTCCCCAGAGATCACACAGAAAGAAAGCTGTATGTTATGTTCTCCTGTAACTCCACACTAAGGATACAGAGACAGGAGAATCCCTTGTCCTTGCTTACCAGCCAAGTCTAGCCAAATCAGTGATCTCCAGGTTCAGTAAGATCCTGTCTCAAAAACATAAGGCAAAGGGTGACTGAGGAACACATCCTCTGTCAAATTCTGGCCTCCATATACAAGTGCACACACACCTGCACACATGCACATCAAAAAAGAAATCAGTATGCCAAGGAGACACATCCCTGTTCATGACAGCCAAGAAACAGACACAGCCTGAATGTCCACCAACTGATAAGTGGATGAACCAAATGTGCTAAATAGCACAGGAGAACACTGTTAGCCACAAGAATAATGGATATTCATTGTCATTGCTGACAATGTGGATGACTTGGAGATCATTTTGTTTAGTGTGAGATGCTGGGCACAGAAAGCCAAATATCCTATAATCTCCCGCATACTGAAATCTAAAAATGTACTTTTTAAAGTTGAAATAGTAGAATAGTGGTTGCCAGAGGTAGAAGCGAATGTTGGCGTACAGTTAGATAAAATATGCTACTGCACAGTGTGATGGTTGTAGATAAACATTATATACAATCTAAAATCTAGAAGGAAGGATTTTGAAAGGTTTCATCATAACAGGATGATAAATGCTTAATGAAATATATATTTTATCTGATGTAAGCACTGTACAATCTTTACAATATTGAAATAGTGCTCATTAATATGTAAATTTAAATGTGAATGAAAATTCATTCAAAACTGTATACTGTGAAGAATAATGAGTACAAATTGAGGAATAGTGAAATTTGTACATTGCAACTACAAAATATTGCTGAAAGAAATTGCCGATCTAAGTAAATGGAAGGTTGACTAGTGTTCATGAACTGGAAGATTTACTATTGCTTTGATGAAGATGCTAGTACAATAATATCATGATTCTGATAGCATTTTTTGTAGAAGTAAAAGAAAAAACATCCTGTAATTCACATGGAATTTCTAGATACCAAGTGGCAAAACCAGACGACCAGAAGATGCACATTTCCTGGCTTCAGAACTTACTGCCAGCCTTCAGAAATCAAAGCAGTATGAAACACACCTTCCATACAGAAAGAGTATTGGTCACTGACTTGAATTTAACAAGAAGCACAATAGTTTTTAAATAATTCAAAGAATAAGTAAACTACCTGAATAGAATTTGATGGCATTAAAACTGCCCATCTGACATACAAACTGGGACTCTTGTGTCTTGTAAGTATGGAGGTATCAATATTACTATATGATGACTAAATATATTCAGTACAGATTGCATCTATATTGGTCAAAATTATAAGATTAGGAAGATCTTTGTACCAACAGGCTTAAAGTCAACCCAAGCCTAAAAGTATTTAAAATGAAAATCACAGCAAAGTTTCACTTTTGTGTCATTTGTGTCATTGAAATGATATTTTCCAAAACTCGCCCTGCAGTTGCTACACTGAAGTCCATTCCCTGGACATAAAGAAAGGCTGATGCATGTATGTACACACACATACACACACAATGAAAATAAAATTTATTTTTAAAAGCATAAAGGTATCTCTTACTAAACTGAAAGTGTTCAATTAATTCCAGACAGGTGTACATCTGATACAGCAATAGTTAATACAGTCTATCATCTGTATCATGCTGTAAATGACCAAATATTTTAAGAGGAAGGTCTTATATCCTTGACCCAACTTGCTCAAAGGAATTTATTTTTTACATTAAACACTTTAAAAAGGAAATTTGCTTTTCAGTACCCATAGCAACCATTTACTCATAGTAGTCCAATCTCAACCTAAGTCTCATAAATACAAGCCCCATAGTGAATCTGTCTTTCCTTAAAGAAGTTGTTGCTTAATGAGAATGACAACTTAGTATCATACTGTGAACTTTGTTTGGGGGTCCTTCCCCCCCTGAGTGAGAATAATGCTGTGGGTTGTAACTCTAAAAATAGTAATGGGTCTCAGACTGGAAAACTAACAAGCACTATAGACCAGAAGAAAATAAAAGCTCCAACATGGGTTCTATTCAACTGTAGTGTGTGCTGAAGAAAGCATGTAAACATAATGTTGCTGTTTAGCTATGAACAAAATTATTCTACTTTAAGGAAATATCAGAACACAGTCCAAGAATTTTGAATGCTTAAAGCAAGAGTTTTGTGACCTCAGTTTCTTTAAAATATGGCATTGTTCTTGGAATGTGTTTCCATGCTCCTCCTAGGTGTAGTCTATAGGAGTGAGTTTACTTCAGCTGTTGTTATTCATTTGCCTCTATGGAAAACATGTTGTTGTCATGTGCAGCTTGTCTTTGTGAATGTATACTTTGCTCAGGTGATTCTGAAGTGAACCCTTGGAGTATGAATTGTCTGATGCTCTGAAAAAAGTAGGCTATTGTGTGAGACTTTAGTCCACTTCATTTTAAGGCCCCGCTCTCCCAGGTTTATACCACCAACTAGAGCAGAAAAGAAGGAAAGTTACCTAATTGTACTCAGTGTATTATAACAAAATATTGAGTAGGAAGGCTTTAAAAGTAGAGATTTACTCTGGGCAGTAGTGGTGAATGCCTTCAATCCCAGCAGTTGGGAGGCAGAGGCAGGTAGATTTCCAAATTTGAGACCAGTTTGGCTGGTCTTACACAGTGAGTTCCAGGACAGCCAGGACTACACAGAAAAATCTTGTCTTAGGGGATATATATATATATCTGTATATCTATCTATAGACAGACAGACAGACAGACAGACAGAGAGATATATCTGTCTCTATATCGAGGGAGAGAGAGAGAGAGAGAGAGAGAGAGAGAGAGAGAGAGAGAGAGAGAGAGAGAGAGAGAGAGAGAGAGAGAACTTCCTCAGTTCTGATTTGGCTTGCCAAATTATAGTTTCTAAAGCTGAAAAGTCCAAGATGCTGCAGATCCAGTGTCTAATGAGGGCCTGCTTACTAATCATAGAGGGCCCTCTTCTCACAGTATAAAAAGAAGGAAACTCTCAGAGTCTATTTCATAAGAGAACCAAAGCTAGAGGGTGTAGCTTAATGGTAGAACCCTTGTCTACTGTCCATGAAGTCCTGAGATCATTTCCTAGAATGGGGGTGGGGGTGATGGATGGATGGGGAGGCAGCTGACTATAAGGGTTCTACCTTAGGCTCTCATCATCTACCCTAGGCCTTTCCTTATAATGCATTCACTGTGGCTATGAAAATGTAAACAAATTAAGAACGCAGACCCAGACTATTACACTCTTATTAACACACCATCTCTCTTCTTTGCTCAAGCTCTTCCTCCTAATGTTTAAGAGATTATCCAACTACACCTACTAAAGCACTAAAGCCAATTGAGCATACAGATTGTCTCTATAGAAACCTATGTAATTCCAGATAATTACCATGTAGTTCTTCAAATTCATATATAAATTAACATAATTTCTATGGAGTCTTTTCTATTTTTAGAACATGTAATACACATCTTTATGGTTGTTCTCAAACCTCTAGATAAAGAGTGGGAAGCAAATCTCCTTTATCAGTTCCAGGTCATCGCTTCCTGCTTGATCAACGTTGGCTGTGGTTAGCCTTGGACTTCTCCCTGACTTTTTCCACACTGTGCTTGTCACTGACCATTTCAGTCTGAGGATCTATATCAGATAAGAAGGAAAGTTTTAAATATTAATGCAACGTGAACACTGAATTTCCATTTTCCAGAACAACTGCCAAGTCATCCTCTGGGCACTTACTTCCATGCCCTGCTAAGAAGAAAAGTTATCTTGTCCCAGTCTGTGTTATTCTACCTACTGACCCTGCCTCCCACCACTTAATTACTCCAGGCCACAGGAATGTGTGTGGCTGAACAAGGAACTAAGCACAGGAGCCCTCTTCCCTGACCTGCAAAGGACCGAGCTTGGCTGTGGTCCATCACAGCCCTGAATGTTTGATTCTGAGTTTTTATCATACACATTCTTCTCAGAACAGGGGTAGCACACAGTGTGGGCCTACTGTTCTCAGTTGTCTAGTGTAAACAAAGTGATAGATGATTACTGCTGAATTCACTTCCCAAATATACAGATCAAAAGGAAATATAGCAGGAGAGTCTGTAGGTCTCCTGACACACGGAATTATTACATGATGGAATTTTATCAGAAGTGCTGTTCTCTGACATGAGCCAGTGTATACTTTCTTAGGAATAAGAACTATTTCAAATAACATTGCTATCATATTTACTTTTTAAATTTTTTCCTATATATACAAGACTGTTGGGAGTTCTTTGACTGTGTAAACAATTTTTAAGCAATAACTTAGGGTTCTATAGAGGACCATCATAAAAAAGTGCTAAGTGAGCATCTTAAATTTGTAAATGAAGTTATTATAAAAGAAAAATTGTTATCTAGAGTACACTGTGAGTTTGGAGAGGTCTTTGAACCTGTTGGAAAAATACATAAATGTATACATGTATGCTATTTTTGAGGGAAAGAAAGTTATCCTATGACTGGCAAAAGGATATGTGATGTAATAACTAGTAAGACTCAAGGGGTGTGGGCCTACATCATGGGGTATCCAGGTATTCCTCAAGTACTGCCTTCTATCTCGTTTGTCTGCTTTGTGAATCTGAGTGTATGCAATTGCTCAATGGTGGAACTGTAAATTCTTCTACTTAGAAAAGTAAATAAGGAAAGGGAAGAGGAAGGAAACTATTTGGGTCTGGGGTTTCTATAGACCACAGCAATGAAAACAATCTTGGGAAAAAAAAAGGTCTACATTGTATGGGAATTAGACCATGGAAGGCAGGGATAGAAGCAGGAAAACGAGTTAAGAGTTGAATAACTGTAATCTAGGGATCAAATAACAGGTCACTTGGGATAGTCCAGTATAGTAGCTGATAAGGAGTGATCACATTCTGAATATGTTTTGAGGATTTAAAACTATGTGGGAGCCACAGGAGAGAGAATATCAGCTTTATTTCCTGACTACCTAGAGGAATAAGTTGCCATTTCCTGAGATGAAGGAAGTTAAGGTAGACATGGCTAGAAACCAATGATTACTTCTGAGAGGACAACAAGTCTAGGACAGAAAGATTAATGAGCTTGTAGCTTAGGGAAGAGACAGTTTAGTCACAAGTGTATAGATGGGAGTAAAGCCCTGAAACTAACTGAAACCACATAGCTGTGTATGAGGAAGACAAAGCTGGGGGCAGAGAAGATGGACAGGAAACCCACCAGAGTGGACAGAAGGGTACAGATAGTGAGTTAGTATGAGAATCCGATGAGGCTGGAAGACTTAATAACTGATTGAGGAAAATTTTGAGAAAGGGAGGGGGCATAGTCAAATGTGTAATGGCATTGATGGATCAAGTGGAGTTTTAACCAAAGTAACCCTAATCATGGGATCTGGCCATGCATGACACATTAATAACCTTGATAGGAGTATTGGGGAGTGATAGGAACAAAAGTTTATCTGAAAGACTTTGGGAGAACAGGCCTCATGAAAAAAAAATGGAGAGACAGAAATAAACCTAGAAGTAAACGAAATTCAAAGAGCATCTGTCATGCTGTGTACCCTGCTTGGATCCCAATTCAAATAACTCAAGTGAGCAAACATTGAAGAATAGGTGGGTGTGTGCATAGAGGCAGATAGAGAGGTGGACATTCTTTTTAAAGATAACCTGTCTCTGTAGGCTAAACTGGCCTCAAACTTGTAAGGGTCTCCAGCTGAACCCTCCAGTGGTGTACCCCCAAACCTGGATATTGTTATTACCTAAATGTGATACCACTGGTATTGTATATATTTAAGTCTTTTCATTTTAAATAACTTATGTGTTAAATGTGACAGTTTCCAGAATTTGCATCAGAAGAAATAAAAAGGTGACATGATTATATTGGAGTAAAATGGAATAAATTCACTGCAAGTTATGTTCATTAAGCTAAGCTGTGGGCTTGTTATACCATTCTGGTTTGTTTTAGTATGTTTCTTAATAAAAAGGAAAAGAGAATGGGAAGAAATGAAGTTAATGTAGCAACTACAGATAGTATAAAGTTAAAACACAGAAAGAGTTCATTCAATTAATCATGTAACTATGAACACAAACTATTAAAAAACATTTAAGGCAGTTATACTATTAAATTTCCTAAACCCCAAAATAGGTTGTTCAAAAACAAAAAATACTTAAAATACTTATTGTAACCCTAATGTATACCATACTATGGATTTCAAATCTCATAGATACTATTGAAACAGTTGTCTATATAACAAATGTATCTCAAAATCCTGGATAATGTAAGGACTTTTTTTATCCAACTCTCACCTTTTTTAACTGAAGTAGCATTTTCTGTTTGTTGTGGTTTCACCAGCCTTGACAAAATCCATGTTGACATTCACTTGTTACTAACATGACACATGGACCCTTTAAGATTACTTCAGTGTACTACTCTTATGGGCCGGGAATGGGCTTGTGACCATGGCAGGAGGCTCCTGATAGAAGGGACCTTCTGTCTTGTGTGCTCACTTGCTCTTCTGTCATTCTAAGACGTGTGAGAGGCCTCGCCTGATGTGGCTCCTCAGTATTGACCTTCCCCTATCCCAGGGTTGTTTAAAATAAGCTTCCATCGTAAGTTACCTAGTCTGTGGCATTCTGTTATAGCAGCAGAAAATACACTGAAGAACCAATATGTACCATCCCTGAGGTTGCCTGGTGTGTCCTGCACTTTTCACAACTGCCCAGGCCAGGGTATACAGTGACTAAGGGCCATGGCTTCCCCTTCTTGGCTTTGCAGTATTGCTGTTTTCATCTTCGAGTGAAATTAAGTAGCCACTTTGTTGTCATTACATATTATTTCTGTGGAAACTCACTTCACGTTTTATGAAGTACAAATAAACTCCAGTAAGTAAAATGAAATACATGAGTACAAAAATGGCAGGGATGAAACACTTATCTCAGTTATGGGAAGAACACAGTAAGAATGGGAATGAAGGGTGGCATTCAGAATTGCACCTGACCACGTAGTGATGGAGGAGATCAGGGTAGTATTGAATATTCCAGTCTCTTGCTCTGATCACTGACAGATCTCACATGCTTCCATTGCTGTTAGTAAGATATCCTGTCCTGCTGACCACACCTTCAGGAGCAGTCCCAGAAATGTCTTCAGGAATCCAGGCAAGACAACATTGTGCTAGGCAAAGACTTGAGAAAAGAACATCTAAGGGTGAGTTCCTTATTTGGGCTCAGATTTAGAGGTGTGTGACGAGGGCATTGACTGGGCAGAGTCACTCCCAGCGCAGAGCCCAGGGAACTGAGAGAAGCAATGTCCGTTTTCTCTTTTACTCCTGGGCCCTCAGCCTGTGGGATACCGCTGGCCACTTTCAGGGCAGGCCCATCCTCCTCAGTCTTCTGTGGAAGTACCATTGTGGACACACCCAGGCACTTCTCAGTCCCATCAAGATCATAGGATTCATGGTCACAGCATGTTGTTCTAAGTGAACATAGAGAAATCGTTTTCTTATCTCAAACACGTATGACTCGGGGTCTTGCCAGATTCTTACAAACTGATTAAACAATTCACAAGCTTCACCAATGTACCATGGTCTCGTGTGCTGTAATACTGATTGTGGGCCATATTTTCAGCATTCTAGATTCATAAGGCCAGCACTGGCCTCAATTAAGTGTATAACTCCAGCTACTCATAGTATTCTTTCATGTTCCCTCACTCAGTACCATGCCCATCTAGAAATAGCATTGTCATCCCAAAAATGTAGATTATTGAGGGAATAGAGAAGACAAGACTTCTCTGGGTTTGAGCAGTGTGTTTGTTAATTGTCCTATCTCCAGTATGAACTTCAAAGTCAAAGGTCAAATCAGGCGACTTAGTGGTCCTGTAGTAGCTTGAATGAGAGTGGCCTCTCTGGTCCCCCCTAAGTCTTGCTGGGTTCTGGACTTTCTGTTTGCTTGCTCTGCTTGTTCAATATCGTTTGACTTTCTGCATGATCCTATGCAGTGCTTCTCTACATTGTAGCTACCCCAGCTTATCGTCAAGTACTCTGTGGCTACCCAAAAAAAAAAAAAAAAAATCCCCTTCACTTGTTTTCCTGCTACACAGAGCTTGATCTCTGGATCATGAAAACAAAAGGGAATGGCACCTACAAAACCTTCCATGTGCTGTGCTTTGAGGAGTGCTTAACCAACTCTAGACATGCAAACCAGCACCAGAGAGTACTGACCAGATCTTTGATTAAAAAAAGAACACAAGATTTTTATCCTCTTTGTGGAGGCTTAGTGCCCACATGAAATGCAGTCTAAACATCCCGAAACCTCCCAGCAATGTCCAGATCTCTAGGAATCTTTTGCTGTAGACCCTGGCTGTACGATGGGAAATTGCATCGTTGGGTCTCAGACTAACTGACCTGCAATAAATCCCATTATCCAATACTGGCTGACATTGGAATCAGCTAGGATAGACTGAAAAAAAGAAAAACTGGTGTTGGAGCACAGCCTCAGAAACTCATGAATGGACCTTGTTACTGCTGCTCACGAAAAGCCCCTACCAAGCAGTTCTGCTGGCTTTACCCCAGCCCACTGGTACTGCTCCCTATGTCTAGTGAGTGCTTTCCCTGTGAGTGTACAGTTGCTAGACTTTCCCTCATGTGCCCACCCCGCCAGCATTTGCTGAAGCTGCTGAAGGTCTGCCCCTGAGAAGGGGGGTGGGGTGGGCTAGAACCAACAAATGCCTGCACGTGTGGTTCTCACGCTCTCACTACTCATCTCCATGTGTGACTTGACTTTTTATCATACTGAAAGCCACACCCAGCATATTCAAAGCCATTTCTTTCCTCCCTAACCTATCAGTCTCTCACCAAAAATACTGTCTGATCAGTGTAGCAATTTTCATCACTGAATTTGATCCCTATTCACTTCAGGAGTCAGTAATGAGGGTAATGGAGTGGGCTGGGGGGGGGCAGCTTCCCCAACACCTTTCATAAAGTGCCCTAACAACTGCCTTTCTGCCTCTGTAATCCCATACTCTTTGTAATAATTGTCTGATTACCATCTCCTTCATTCATAAAGACCTCAAAACGTGTCTAATACTGACTAGACACTCAGGGAAATGAGCGACCGGAGAAAAGAAGGGCTGGAAAGATGAAAAGATGTAGCCGTGCTTCTGCGGCAGGACCAGTATTTAACATGGATCGAAGAATCAGAGCAGAACTCCCCTCTGGTGTGGAAACACAACAGTTGCTTTTCTTCTTTCTGAAATACAGTTTGGGTCCTCTCAAGGCAGTCTGAACATTTTCTGTCTCCTTGTGCTCCCGTTTCCGCTCCCTTTTCAGACCACCCACACAGCAGCAACCTGGTTGTTTCCAATCGCTTCCCTCTGCCTATTTTGCCATTCCAATTTTCCAGCTTTACAGCAACCTAGTTGTTATGTCCAGCCGTGATAGGAACTCTTTACAGCTCTGCAACATCAGTTAAGAGATTAGTTAAATGTGCAATAGTCCTTCCTACTCATTTTCTTACTTCTGAGGTGGTTTCTTTCTTTCTTTCTTTTTTTAAGTGCTGAAAGCTGAGTGCCTCCCCACAAGGCCCTTTTGGCAATGCTATGTTTATCTAGGATTTCCAGCCTCCGTGGTAATTGTACTGCTGCATGCGGGAAAACGCAGCTGTGTCGGTAATCATACGGTATGAGACGGCGCTGCCTGTCCATTCAGGTGGATGAATCTGGTGCCACTGTTCTCAGGGACTAGGATCCAAGACAAGTGGGCAAGAGTGCAGGGAGGAGATGCGCTCACTGTGGCCTGAGTTAACACAGTAGCACAGTTTCTCCAACATTAGTTATGACTAAAGATGTCCAGCTGGTACCTTAAACGAGCACAGGGTTTCAAATGTAAATGGCCACGTGTATCTCAAGGGACTAGAGAATCATGGAGAAAGGGGTGGGGTTAGCACTGTTGGCATCCATTTATGTGAACTGCTATGAGGAATGTTACAATCATATTCCAGCAATGTATATGCTCTGCCTACACACTGACTATCCATTTGTCTTTTGTGTTTGTTTTTGTTTTTCGAGCCTGGCTGTCCTGGAACTCACAGAGATCCACCTGCCTCTTCGCCACCACCACCCCCCAACAAGTGCTGGGATTAAAGGCGTGTCCTTTTGTCTTAAGACAGTATTTTGTACAATTGTCCCTGAAATCATTTAAGGAGGTTTGGGGTTTTTTATTTATCTCTTATACTCCTGTGTTTATTTTGTGTCTTTGTGGGCTTGTGAACCATAAGGGAGAGATACCTTTTAAAGTGTACATTCTTGAGTCCCAGGTCAGTAAAACACAGTCTCTGGGACTGAGACCTTGAACGTATCTGACCATACTTTCAGTTGGCTTTTTTGATCCCTAAGTTTAGACCACTGTACTGAAACCTAGCTATTAAACCTCAAATATTCGCAGGAAGCCATAGCCCCATGAGCAGATGCTAATCCTGAGGTCAGAATTTTTTGAAGTGATGAGAAAGGTGTAGGTTATGAATCTCCAAGAAGAAGGAAGGGGGTCTGACCAGGAGGAAGAAATAGAGGCAGACGAGTTGAGAAGCCAAAGGAAAACCTCCCTCCATTATTTTTCCTCAGGCTTACTAGTCATTTGTCATCATTCAGTTCAACTTCGAAAATGTATGTTGACCCCTTGTCATGTGTCAGACACTAGGAATATTAAAGTAGAACTAAGCCACTTCCCTCAAGGAGGTTACAGTTTGGTAAAGGATGCTCTGAAAATGAGTCACATGATTAAATTTGCTAATACCAAAGACTGAGGATCAAATAAGAATCTTTGAGAGCTAAAAGAGAACCAGTCTAAGACGGTGACAGGAAAACAGGTCAACGCTTCCTTATTCAGT